CGTGTACGGATGCCCGATACGGGCATTCGTACACGCCTTGGGCGCCCATCTTGGGCGTTCCAACATTTTTTTGCTAAAAAAAACCCTATAAATCGATTTGTAGGGCTTTTTAATATGAAATTGGTTCCGTAATCGACCTATCCAATGCATATTACACATAAAAGAGTCGAAATTACATCAAAAAATCGAAGCCCAACCTTTCTTGAAGCTTGATTTCGATTTTCGATTTTTTTTTTCTTTTGCTATTTGCAGTTTGGGGGGTTTTTGGATTTTTTGGGAAAGTTTTGGAGAGTTTTGTTATAAATCGCAAATAGCAATTTTCTAACCGTAAATAACATTTCATGTATTAATAGTTTTATATATTGAAAAGAAATATCCTCGTAGCTCGACTCGATTTTATTTGAGTCGAGCCTAATTGATTGCGAGTCCGACCGAGTCTGAGCAAACCTAATAAAACCCAAAACAATTGTGAGCCAAATCTTAGTTTACTACAGTCTACATATCATTCCGAATTAAGTTCGATTAAATAATGAATTTAAATATTAATAAATTTATTAGTTTAACATATTTATAACAATTTATTTTCATAACAAAATTTAACACTAGTTGACAAGCAATATTTTGTTTATGAATAAAATTTTGAACTTACAATCGTCTATTTAGATTTTAGAAAGAAAAGAAAAAAAAAAAAAACAAAAACAGTTGGTGCAATAAACTGAACTTATCTATGCCCCTTCGTTCCCAATTACGTTTCTGTGAAGCCCTAATCCTCAAATTGAAATCCATGGATTAGCTTAATAATTCAAATTCTCAACAATCCAAGAATCTACAATTTAGTTACTTCCATTTTCCATCCTATGATGTTTCCGCTTCTGATTTTCATGTAGTCGTCCCCAAAAACCTCCGAATTTCCAGGTAATCATTGGTCCAGGTTTCTGATTAGTCGCATTTTTCATATACTGCCAATTTGAGTGGATTGTATTTTCAAGCTTGAATTTTTATTTTGTCAAATTGTCGAAGTCTAACATTGTGAACTTCTGTCAGTTCCGTTTCATTTTCACTTAAACATATATATATATATATGGAGGATAGTAGTAGATTTCCTTGTGCAATTTTTATGTTTGACAAAATGCCCCGATGGGGTTGTTCAACCAACTGAGAAACTTGATTAATTTCGAATAAGTTTGTTTAGTTAGTTGGTCAGTTTCAAATTCGAAAATATATTATTTAGTTGTTGATAGTTGTTGTTGCTTATATACGTTGGTCGTGTCTTTTGAAGGCTTAAGTTAAATTATGCATTCGTTGAACCAAGTCCTGTTTGTAGCAACATAAATTAGATGCAGATAGATAACGGATGATACGGCCGTCGTGCTCTGTCTGAACCCTCCAAAGAATTGCGAACATGTTACTGGACGTGTTAGTTCTAACCGAGCAATTTAGTCTCGTTTTTCGCTTGACTCTTTCTTTGACATATAGAGTTTTGCCAAGGGTGTTTCGTTGGGCAATCATTCTGAACTGTTAATGTGAACCACTAGGAATAGAATAACTTCGTAGTGTGGTCACATAATATCGCTTTTTTTTTATATAACTTTTTTCTTCCTTTTATTATTTTCTATGATGATTGAAACTATCGATTTCATGACAGTGACGCGCGCCTATCATGGATGCTTCAAGGGAGAAAGCTGAGGTCACTTCAGCATTGCAGCAGATGGCTTTTGGAACTGCTTCTTTCTTACACATTCTAGTGCGTGCACGCCAGGCTTATCTCCGCCGACATAATCGTAAAAAAAGTAAAGAGTTGGCAAGATATAACCTGATAAGTAGGATACCTGCACAAGTTGCCCATCTGCGAAGGATAATAAACATTAGTGATGCTGACTGTATTGAGAATTTGAGGATGTCCCGAAATGCATTTTCCAGATTGTGTTATTTGTTAGAGAGTGTAGGCGGACTGACAGATACTAGGAATGTGACAATCCACGAAAAAGTTGCAATTTTTCTTACTGTATTGGGACATCGTGGGAAAAATCAAATTCTAAAACAGGACTTTGTTCGATCCGGATATACAGTCAGTAAATACTTTCATGAAGTTCTGGATAAACTCTTCAAGCTCTATCCATTACTGATTGTGCCTCCGGAGCCTGTACCAGAGGATTGTACCGATGAAAGATGGAAATGGTTTAAGGTAAAAAAAAAAAAAAACCACTTTCCTCAAAAATAATTTGTCGAACTTTTTTGAAACTTAATTTATATAGTCATTTGTCCTGTAAATAGGGTTGTTTAGGGGCGATCGATTGTACTCACATCAATGTGAAAGTGGCTGAATTTGAAAAGGCACGGTATAGAACAAGAAAAGGGGACATAGCGGTTAATGTGCTTGGAGTATGCAACCCCGACATGAAATTTATTTACGTATTATCTGGTTGGGAGGGCTCTGCTTCAGATGATAGAGTGCTGAGTGATGCTTTGAGCAGAAAAAATGGCCTAAATGTGCCGAATGGTAATATTAATCATGCCGCCAGTATTTTTCTTTTCCTTTTACATGGTTCAATAATACTATATTTACGGCCCTTGACATTGTTTTACTTCATTTTTTACAGGAAATTATTACCTTTGTGACGGTGCGTATAGAAACGGAAATGGTTTTTTGACTCCATATAGAGGCGTGAAGGTGGAGAGTTCATCATTGACTCCTCAGAACAAGGAACAACTTTTCAATTTGAAACACTCGTGTGCGCTTAATGTGATGGAGAGAACATTCCGTCTTCTGAAAATGCGTTGGGAGGTTTTGGGGAACAACTCGTATTACTCGATAAAGGTACAGAATCGGATAATCATGGCTTGTGCGTTGCTCCATAACTTCATCCGTACTGAGATGCCTGTGGATCCTCTTGAACAACAACTTGAAGAAAACTTGGAAACTAACACAACTTGGGACGGACACATAGATGTCATTGATGCTGGAGAGTCGCAAGTTTGGTCTTCTTGGAGGAATGAGTTAGCTAATTCGATGTTTAATGAGTGGCGGTGTGTTCAGTGAAGGCCCCTGTATGTTTTGTTGTTGTTTTGCAAATATATGGTAGATCTTTTTTGTTTCCGGAGATTGTGTGTAAATGTTTAATCTAATCAAAATATTGGAGGTGTAAAGTTGTTTCAATATCATGACATGTTTTGGATGGCATAATGTATAGTGTCTGAACATGTTTTCGAGATTCAGTGGTAAATAAGTTTCATGGCTTTTGTCAATTTATGTTCAATTGTCATTTGTCCGAAAATCTTTTTTTTCTTTAAAGTTACATAGAATACATCCATAGATGATGCAGGTCATTTTAGAAATTACATCTGCCCCTATTAAACCCTATTTTCACCTTCAATAATCTACCGACCATGAATGTGTAGCGTGTTCATTCATACAAGTTGTAGCATAGCTTCGTTTTACTCCTACAGAATAGGAGCAAATTTGGTTGCATTTATTACGCCTAATAATTTACTTTTATGCATTCCAAACAGAAGTTGGCCACCTGCGACGGTAAAAATCCGAACACCAGTTTAAGAAAAAATGGATCAATGTATTGCAATCAAGTCCGACTGGAAAGGAATCGAAAAAGGTCTACAAAAACAATACACAACCAAAAGACACAGAGATCTAAGTCAAGCACAAATCGACAATGAAAAACTACTAAGATGGTGTCTCCTCCTTTTTAACATACAAATAAAAACTCAGCTTTGTTGTGCCTAAAGCTGCAAAAAGAAATGCCTCGACTACCAAAGAATATTACAAAGAAATATATCCACACCCTATGCAGACAATACCAAATCACGTTTATTTTATAACTTTGAACTAAGCCTTCCACCTTTGTCTCATAACAAAGGGACTAGAAGAAAATACAAAATATTAAAGCCTGAACAGCTGGCATTGTCCTCTTCTCTCAGTAAACAAGTTCCAATAATCTCAAAATAGCAATAATAATCAATCATCCACAAACTAGTACGAACCCATCGGTGGCATTCCGAATTGCGGCATTGGAGGCATTCCCATTCCCATGCCCATACCACCCATGGGGGGTGGTGGCCCCTGACCATAACCACCTCCCATTCCTGGCATAGGCGGTGCCGGTAAAGCAAGAGGCAACAGCTGGGCATACATATTCTGCAGCAAAGCAAATCATATTAGGTTATATATATCAAACACAAATAAGCAATTGTTTTTTTTTTTGCCAAGCATATACTTCATTGAAAACTAGGATCTGACTTGGCAAGTTGTTACAAATGATATGACATATACCTGTTGACTAATGACGTCTTTCTCTTCTTTCTCCTTGGCTTTCTCTTCGTTCTTGGCCTCAATCTTGTCCTTGATTAGTTCATCAACCTTACCGCTGTATTCCCGGATAAACTGCAAGAGAGAGAAAGAAGATTTAGGGTTCATGTTTGGTGGTTCTTTCATATAATAAGACAAACGCCGTAAAAGTAATGCATAAAGGGTGATGAGGCAGGTGAGGGATGGAGAATCACCTGCAACAGATATGGGAAGGCAAAGTCAAGCATGTTATTCATCCAGGCAAGTTCAAGTGCAACATCTGGGCGGATCAAATCATAACAAACAAACAGGCACGAGGCAAAGCACTCCTTCTTTCCCTGTAAAACATAGGGAAAAAAATGTCAAAACCTGACATGAAGTTATGAACATCAAATGCATTTGGCTGCATCTTTTAAGGGCCCACAAACTTCAAAACTATATCAAATGATGTTAAATACTATAACGGTTGCAGATAAAATCAAACAAAGTCAACAGCCCATTTTGAGTAACCACCACTGAATAACATTAAACAAATCAGTAACACAAAGTTACAACACATATTTTACTGGAGTAACTATATATCAACGTTGTCATAATGTAAAACAAAATCTTAGATGGCATTAATTCTTCAATATCACCCAGCCTATCAATCTTGGCATATGCATAAATGAGCTCACTGTCCACTTTTGGTTCCTTCGTTTTCTGCCTAACCATAAGAAGATACTTAACCAGGTCGTGATAAACTTCAACATCTTCTGCAACTCTGATTACTTCCAGGAACTGGGTGGCATCATCAGCACGAATAAATGATTCAATTGCATCGCTCACCAGTCCTTCCCGAAGTTGAGCTTTAGCCACTTGACTCCAAACAGCATCCTCTTCAACACGGAATGCAAATTCTACAGCCCGGTTAATGTCACGAATATTGTCAAGCAACACATTCACAGCCTGGACATTCAAATTGAACTTCTTAAAAATGGCATAAGCCTCTTCATATAATTGAGCTTCCACAGCAACTTCTCCAACAGCAGGGCCATCAAAGTTATCAAGTCTATTTATATAGTCCATCACCCTCGATGAATCAGCCTTGATTGCAGTCAAGATAAGCAAATTTTGCAGGTTAAAGTTTCCACTGAATGCTGAATTTTGAAGCACAATCTTTTCAAGCAACTCAATTAGCTCATGGGGAAGATCAGCGGTCATAAATGCTTTAACAGCAGCAGAAACTTGCTCCGGACTTTTGCTTTCAGGCAAAGCTGTCGATACCACTTGATCAATGAGCAGCCTTCTGAATTCATTCTCGGGGTCAAGAACTTTTGCCCAGAGATCGCCATCCATTCTTTCAACAACATACCTGAAAAGATAAAGGCATTACATCAACTTCTAGAAAAGACACGAAAGTAACCAACGAGGCACAAAACCACACAATCACAGACCTAGCTTGCAGCTTGAACAATGAGTTCTTATTTGTCACGTTAATGAGTTCATCGTCACATTGTCCTCTCCGGTATGCGACAACAGCAAGGGTAGGATCACGCTTCTCACAGTATTTACCGACAACACGTGAATCATAGTATGGGTTGGTAGTGAGGAAGTGCTCTGGATTGTTGTTGCTATCTATTATGATTTTTCCCAAAGCATTGTGGACATGCACATCTTGGCTTCCTTCACTCACAAGATGCTCCAAAAACTGAGTAAGCAGACGAAGCCGATTCCTGCGTACCAGAGATCATTCATAAGCATGTCAAGGAAAAAGCTGGTTCAAACTAGGCAAAGTTATGAGTGATCAGACAAGGTACCTTTTCTCACACTCCTCAACCAAAGGTTCAACCGGAAGAAGAGAACGGACAGAAAGGATAAGGCCTTTAATGAAATCTTCAGGACACTCATCATCTAAAAGCTGCCCAACAACTAATGGAGCATTTCCTGGATTCACCTAATCAAAGAGACAATAAACATTCATTGGTATGAAGAACAATTTTTTTTATTCAAAAAAAAGGACCAATAGAGATACATACCTTTTGCACATAACCTTCAATATAACGAAGCATGTTGTTGGAGTACAAGTAATGTGTGAGATCCGGAACAAAACCAAAGCGGTCACAAACATTGATCAATGGCCGAGCATCAGGAAGTTTTGCTTCCATTAAGAAATTCTTAGTCTTTTCAGGATTATAGAAATCTGATTCTCTAGTGACGCGCTCAACCTCTTTAATCTGTCCAGTCTTTGCAGCTGCCTCAATATACTTGAAGTGAATCTCAGGATCCTCACTGCCAGATACCAATAATTAGTACACAGTATACGAAGTCTATTCTGAGTGAGATGGATCATCATATGACAGTTACAAGTCCGGTCCTTCGTAGACAGATTACCTGGAGCTCAAATATGATCCCAAAAAGAAGTACAATCCTTCATACGACTTGAACTGCTCAAAGAGCTTAATGCATGCGTCACTTCCCAAATGTTCACAATACTCCTTTGCAACCTACATAAAGTTAAATAGCCAAAATGGAACAGAATAAGACTACAGCCATTTCATTTGATTGATAACAACTCATTTCCATATTTCCTAGTGCATGATCACTAAGAGGAAGTTCTGAAAACACTTATTATAATAACGCATTCCTTACCTGAACAATTATCTGAAGGTTTCCTCTTAAATTGACCAGTAAAAGATCCTTCATACACTCCAGTGCCCATTCCTTAGAAAGTGTTCCAAAGAACTCCACAAGTGCCTGAAATGACAAATCATTAAGCATTAAATAAACAAATCAAGGAGCGGACAGAGAAAGCAACTGGGTTGTAGTAACCTGTGGCTCAATTGCATGAGTATTGACCATGACTCGCTTGATATCAGGTAATTCAGAATAATGCTGCAAGAAAAAGAAAATTACTTAATATATATAATCACGCCTAATTTGTATACTAAACAGAAGCACATAAATGATAGGAATTCGAACCTGAAGTGCTCGCACGTAAAGTCCAGCTTTCTCACATAATTGTGCAATGCGTGGCCTATCATAATGGCTAAACATTCCGTTCGCCAAAATAGCATCCGCAACATTAGGAAATGTCACGAGATTTATCTCCAGAACCTAAATTCAAAAGAAATTGGTGATAACGTGTCAATAATGTAAGGACGAGTGAAATTAGTTCACAACATAGAGTTAAAATAAAGCAATAACCTTAGTTTGCAGGAAAGCATGTTCTGGCAAATTCGGTTTCAGAACATCCAACAGAAATGCTGTTGCTTCACGGATCATGTTTCTCTGGTGGAAAATAATTGATGATGAAATATATTACCAATTATCTATCTAAAATGTAAATGTGAAACAATAACATGCTTGAAGTAGTGAAATAGTTTTCGAGGGGAGTCGAATGGTTTCAAATGAATAAGAAAAAAGTCAGACCTGAAGAAAAAGATCGGTAATGGTATTGTAATCAACAGGACAACCTCCCTCCATTTGGGACATCATCAGGGCAAAATTAACAGCTCCCTACAGACACCAACATAATACAAAATATTAAGTCCCTGCTATAACAATCATAGAGGAAGTTTCCAAGCAGTGTTCATATACGTAATACATCAGGAACTTAGACTCTGTTATTGATCAAAGCATACCTGAGGATCTGCCCGAAGAATCGTTTGCAGAAGGAATAGGTAGTCAGGCGTATAACCAACCTATTTCAAAATGAAGAGTTATTTTCATTGGAGTGCAGTTTACATAAAATAAAGAGGCAAGTAATTTAAGCATTAGTTGTGACAGTACCTGCTTTGAGTATATCAAGATCTTGTCAAACTCCCGACGCTCTGCAAAAGCTGCCACAACTTTGGGTGTTGCTCTAGCTTTGATATATATTTTCAGCGCGAGGTCATTGTCAACGGTCTACAACATAGATACAAATGAAGTTAGTCTTACGGGACAAAAGGCAGACGCTTCCACACCAGGATGAAATAATAATAAATTCTGAAAGCAGTTCCAAAATTATTTAGGAAATCTAACCTTAACAAGATCTCCAAGTTCTTCGCTGCATTCCAGTTTGTCCTCAGCTAACCAGTTCTCCAATAGATTCTTCTTGTTCTGGTTGACCACAAGACGAGATAATTCTAAAGACTCGAATGCGTTAAGCTTTCCTTTGGTTAGCAGTGTTCCAAAGTACTGCAACAATGGTGGTGTCTGCCCAGCTTGTACAGGAACGCTCTGCAAATACAAACACAAGTCTTATGAATTCTCAGATCTCCAAATGTATGCAAGTTTCAAATTAAATTCCAGCTGGCAGCTGCAGTTATGTATTTTCAAATTGAAAATTATGTCCTTAACGAATTTGCACTTCCACCCACAGCATGTGCACTGAGGAATATATTTGATAGCTAATGGACAATAGGTACCTGAAATTTGGCAACTGTATCAGGTGTGCGGAGGATGCCTTGTGGAGATTCGGCAGCAAGCTCAGCAGCCTCTTTATACTTCGTCTGAGCAAACAATTCTTGGAAGCGCTGAACAACCTGAGAAAATAATGATGGCATACAGGAAAATGATCAGCACTCAAATAGACAGTTACTAAACAGAAAAATGGTATGTAGCTACAAAGACACACTATGTTGAGGAAAACAAGAAAGATACTGGCGACATTTAACTAGGGGAAAAAAACAGTTCAGCTAAGACGCGATGGACAGAATACTACAATGGTGATGTAAATCCTGAAAGAAAATGCATATAAAAAGCTATGAAAATTATGGTTTACGTGCTTATCAAGTTAGTAACACAAAAATATGTTTCACAATCATTGAAATTTAGTATTTCATAAATGTATTGCAGCTCGTAGAGAGTGTTTACCAAAAAAAACAATGCCACAAACATATTCAGAGAGAACGAAAAAAAAAAAGCATTAAAACCCTAAATTGGCTTACCAAATTCTCCGCACCAGGGAGATTTCCTCGTTTGGCAAGATTGACAGCAAGCTCCAGATTGTTTAACTGAAATTAATCATGTAAGACTCGATATTTTAAGTGAACGAAGTTCTTTATGAATATGAAAAGCAATCTGAGAATATGATAAAATACCTGGCCACTGACAAAAGGTACAATAGTCGATTCATTCACAGTAGCAAGCAAAACCTGGCCTCGCCTATTAATTGCATAAAAACCTCCAACAGATGAAGCTTCTGACGTCAGAAAAATCGGGTCCGGACTTATTCTATTTCTGTATACAGCTGTGGCAGTTTCCAGATCGTACACAAACAGAAGGCCAAGCTTTGTAATCACATATATAAGACTAAATTTGTGGGATATCTGCAAAATGAAAAATAAGCATGTAAATGAGAATGAAATGCTGAATAATCTCTTATAACATAAATGGATCTCTATCCATGAGATATCCAAAAAGTGAAAGACAATCAAAAATTCAACTGGGATGCAGAAAAGAAAGTGGTCCAAGGAGAATACCTGCATGGCCACTGGAAAATCGTCAGCAAAATCTGGAGGGAAGAACAGATCTGCTTGCTTTTTTGTAAAAGATGGTTTCCCTGAAAAAGGTTGCCGACTAATAAGCATCGATAGCAAGCAATAAAAGCATCATAAGACAGACCTAAAACAAATCACTCGTATCGCTTTTGTCAAGAAATAACCCGAAGAACATAAAAATGAATAGAAAGAGAAGATATATTCACCTGGCTGAGCACCAAGCTCAATAACATGCAACTTAGATGTAGTCTGACCAGCATTAGAGGTCTTCGTCGCAAAAGAAATAAGAATGGAATCCTTGTCGTTGCCTGCTACCTGCTCAAATGTACAAAATAAGGATATAATAAGAAAATTGCTGATAAAAAAAAAAACATATAGCACGTAAGAGTTTTAGAGAAAGGAACACCTACTCTGAAAGAGGCAAATGAAGCAGCATGTGCTTCGAGAGCTTGACTACGCTGCTGTTCCACAGAAAACAGCTGCATGCTTCCTTTGACCAATTGGGGCCGCTAAAGAAGGATGTTCATCACTGTGAGCTTGTCGTAAAAAGAACTTATAATAGACAAGTAGCAATATATATCTATAGTTATCAGCACAAAATTCCTGTCTGATTTTGATCTGCATGTTGATCATAACCATAAAATCAACGCCTACATTTTAGCTTTTACCTTCCCATTTTTCCCATTTTATCAATGGTTGGAGATGCTCTAATATACCTATTAATATGACATGGAGGTTTTTTACGAGGTCTAATAGGAATGAAACTTGTAAGATAAGTCTCAGAAACGAATGGAGTATGCATTCTACAAAAATATTTCAAAATTAACAACTACAGAACAAACCTACAACTCTATGGAAATCCAGATCTTTAAGTCAAGACTTCATACTTAAATAAGAAAGTGTCATGCTTCAAAGATCTAACATAAATTAAACAAAGTCCTACATACCAAATCAATTAATAAAAGAAAAACTGAGTAAATAAAGATGGCAAAACAATGTGAGAAGAAAACTCGGAAGGTGCAAAAGGATTGAGCTTAATGAGGGGAGTCAAATGGGAAAGAAAAGCAAGATAAGACTAATAATAATTTCATACTATAACCAACAATGTCTATGACAAATAATTGCAGCCAATAATCTAACACTTTCAAATGATCATTGAAAATATTGAACAATCGCTCACCTCGGGAGAACCAGGAGCAATTCCAATCAAAACCAACCACTTCTCAGATGGATCGCATTTATAATTGATAATTTGGTTATTTGCTAAATTGGCAGTTCTGTCAAACATCTTCACTGGTTCAGATTCACCTACTCAAAAAGATGGAAAATCTTTAACATAAAAGACGGCTAAAAAAAGATAAAATCATCTACTAGATTTAGAAGGCAAAGCAGTACAATCTCACCTTCAATCGACCAGTGATAGACCGAGGATTGTGTAACTAAACCTAACATTTTAGGAGTAATCCACTTCCAGAATACAACCTGTCGGAAAGGATAATATCAACATGAGCTAACTTCACAAAAGCGTAGCCACTATAGACATGGGAAATAGTACATATTACTACATAAAGAACCAATGAGTTCATAGGGTAACAAGATCTTGCCTGCTCGGGCATCTGATGTGACTTCAATTTCGCTTTTGCCTCGATATTAAATATTTGCAAGTGGTCTTGTGTAGTTCCGGCAAGTTGAGCTTCAAGAAGAAAACTAATATTTTCAATTTTTGGACCAACAGTAAAGAAAAGAATGCTCTATTTACAATAGAAATTAATCGGACCCACCCCATTTATGACCCTCGTGAACAAGGATAGCGTATCGAGTATGCGTCACAAACAATTTTAGAAACCAAGTGTAATATGAATCAACACAATATTTTTTTCAACAAAATCCTAAAGTTGATCGTTGGTATTTTTTTCATTTCAACAACCTTATTAACTGCATGGGAGATACCTTGTATGAAAAAATAATGATGTAATGAGAGCTTCAACACAGCATGGAAGGAGACATGATCATGTCATTCTTCACATCGGGAGCCTAACATCGGATCCTAGTTTCATTTTTAAAAGTTGTCTGCTCATCCTTATAAGTTATAATTGGCGACAGTTCTGGTAAAGTTAATCTTATTGGACTTGAGGGTTGAACTCACTTGACAACAATGGGCAGTACGCTTAGACATAAAGAGGGAAGTACCACCATATTCCACTTAGACATATTCCTATCTGACATTATTCTCAAAGGGTCTCAAATAAGTGTTTTTCTACTAATATGTGTAATGCATACTATTCGATGTAATTTTATTTTTTAATAGATTTTAGATTGTCAAACAGACAAACTGTTGTATAAATCAGCACCTAAGTAATCTAAAGTCAGAACTACCAAGGTACTATCGCCTTTTACTAACATCATCAAAGTACTCCACACCCTACATATAAATAAGTCCAACGTGTTCGAATGCATCATAAATGACACGCACTAATAGAAAATTAATGAGCACCCTAAATATGAACTCTAATTTATTAACTACATCAAAACAGAAATAAACAACCTATGAACCAGAAAACCTTAGAGATATTCACCTTTCAGCGCCAAAATTCTAGTATTCGGATTCATAAGCGCGGAATCTGCAGTAATAGGCCTCCTCAATGGCTGATTCGGCATGCTCATATCGATAATCACCACACTGTTTTGTGGTGATGTCTCCCGAACACATATGTACTTGTCAGATTCCATCGTCACATTGGTGAAGGTAATGAACTGCGGATTGATCCCTATGCTGGTCAACTGCAATCATCATATCATACACTCAAAATAATCAGTTTCACTAAAACCAACTCAAATCACAAATACCTAAACAGAGAATCAATAGATCTGAAATCAAACCACAATTCACAAACAGTAATTGCAGAATTTCAGCCAACAAAAGACACAGTAGGCACATCAAATCAGGTAAATACCAAATATTGGGCAAAATTCACCCCTTCATTTCAAACTGAATAGTCAAAAGAGTCGGAAACGAAACAAACGTGATAAATTCAGTTAAATCAACAATCGAATGAGTACCGTGAGGGCTTCTTTCATGGTGATCGGAGCGTTGGCGGCCGCCATGATGGGCGACGAATCGAAGCAACGGAACTTCGGATCTGGGAAAGGATCGGGTCAAGTACGACGACGTATCAACTGACGCTCCCAAGATCTGGAGCAGCGAAAGAGAAACCCTTGAACCTCCGGAGGCCCAAAGACGAACGAGAGAGAGATCTAGAGAGCGAAAGATTGGGGGGAAGAGAGAGAGAGGGTTCTTCTAGAGAGAGAGAGAAACTAAGCTAAGGGGTGTGTGTATTCATTATATACATATGTATATAAACGACAGAGCAAAATTGGAATTTTAGTGAGTCGAAAATTATAAGCGAGAGATCTGAAACATGGGAGAGAGAAAAGAGAAAGTGTGTTTTCCTTGTGCGTGAGAGAGAATGTGTGTGGAAGCTAATCGTCTGCGGTTGGTATTCCTGCAATTCCTTACCTTTAAATTTTTTGACCCAATTAAATACAAATATATTTATAGAATATTGAACATTAATTGTTTTCCACTTCGCTTTTCTTTTACTCCCTCTGTTCCACAATAACTGTCTCTTTTTTAAATTATTTTTGTTCCATATTATCTGTCACTTTACATTTCCAACACTACATTAATTGTGTAATTATCAATTTTACCCTTATTAACTATCCCTAACACTCTCTCACATTAATTATTGGCAAGGGCATTTTAGTATAAGCACATATATTTTTCTAAAATTAAGCAAAATTTATTGAAATCCTTAATCCTTGTGCACAGGCTAAAAACGACACTTATAAAGGAACGGAGGGAGTATCATATTTTTTTATAATTGTGGAAGTGCAATTATTTTTGTACGTTGTAACTTGTAATCATTAAATAAAATGTTAAAATAATTAAATACGTTTAATTATGTAATTTGTTTAAGTCCCATAAATAACTGAAATGATTTATGCACGCACATATTAAACAGTCATGCACATTTTTTACCATTCTTAAAAAAACAAAAAAGTGAAAAAAAACTCAAAAACTCTCTCAACCTTTGGATTTTCTTTCGCAAAGCCCGTGCAAATCGTCAACAGATCGGAGGTAATTTTTACGGTTTTACGATCCTCTTGTTATGTAGATTACGAATCCGAAAAAAAAAACGAAAAAAATCGGACTTTGGCCTGCTCGTGTGAATTTACACGAGCGCATCCACTGCGCTCGTGTAAATCCACACGAGCAGGCCTTGTTAATTTTTTTTTTTTTAATTGCTCGTGTGATTTCACACGAACAGAGACGTCCTGCTCGTGTGATTTCACACGAGCATACCTTCTCAGTTCGTGTGAAATCACACGAGTGGGTTAATAAAAAAATAAAAAAAAAATTGTTAATGTGCTCGTGTGAATTTACGCGAGCACTTGCCAAGTGCTCGCGTAAATTCACACGAGCACATGAATTAAAAAAAAAAATCCATCTCCTCGTGTGAATTTACACGAGCACTTGCCAAGTGCTCGCGTAATTTCACACGAGCAGATAAGGTTGTGGGAAAAAACGAAAAACTTACATTCGGGTCTAAGTTGTTTAGATCCATCGCAAAAATTGTTGAATATCTTAAATTTTTCACTTTGAATGTTATATTTTTAGGAATTGGGTAGGAATAGTACAAAAGGTAAATAGTTATGGTAAAAAGATAAAAAATCATGGTAAAAAAGTGCATGAATGTTTAATTTGGCCTGCGTATATTATTATCCCATAAATAATCAATTTGTATATAATAGTTTGACATTTTGGAATAGTAACTGTATCAATAATAGGCTTTAGTACCGTAGAGAGTTTAGCACCTATGAACGTGCTTATGTGATATTGCGGTGCACTTCAAATTGTTTTTTGGGTTAACTGCAAAAAATCCCCTAAACTTTGGACGTTTTTGCACTTTACCCCCTGAACGGAAAAAAGTTGCACGAGCATACCTCAACTTACTAAATTGTAGCACTGAAGTCGAAATTGTCTATTTTTGGCAAAAAACTGGCCGGAAGGCATAACACGTGAGAAGCACATGATTTAAGCTGGGTAAATCGGTCTTTTCTCTTACACCTATTTTTCTTTCTTTTGTTTCATTAATATAAACAAATCTTAAAAAGGAAAAGAAAAAAAGTGGGTATTATATGCAAATCGTTTTATTTTTTAATTATCATATGATTTCTGGCTATGTATTTGAAAATTTTGTAATATTTCAGAAACTTTTTAAAGTTATTTTATTCCAATAAATTTTAGTTCATTCATTTATTTTTAACAAAACAATATACAAATATATATATTATATATATTACATATATAAATACAAATAATTATTAAATTAGAAAAAAAAAAGAAAAAAAAAAAAGTGATCTTCTTCTATCTACCCAACCACGGACCACCCCCTGACCACCACCTCCGCCGCCACCTCCACTCCGGCGTCGTCTATTTCGCCCACTTTTTTGGTAACCGCTCCACCTCATTTTTCCTTTTTCTCAGCCATCGTCACCGCAACCTCCGCCGCCCGACCTCGTTTGTGAATTGCAGCCTTGTGTTCCACCTCAAACGAATTTCGTTTTCTCAGCCCTTTGTTACCACTTTGCAATGAAATTGAAGCAGAAAAATCGACTACGGCCAAACAAAATTCACAAGCTACGATTCTGCCACCGGAGACCGCCCCCTTATTTCATCCACCACGAATAGAGCGGCGCCCTAATCGAAATCAACGCCGCCGTTTAATCTCACCCCGTCAATATTTTCCATTGGGTCTCGCGGTCTGATTTTCCCTACAACTGCATCTGGCTGATTTTTGGTGGGTCTTCGTCAAGTTTTGCGCGGCGGCGACATCCAGTTTTTGGTGGGTCTTCATCCAAGTTTTGAGCTTGAAGAATAATGAAAGAGAAAATCTTAAAGCTTAATTGGAAGATGAGGCTGTTGGTTGGAGATGATGAAGATGATGGCGGAGCAGAGTGGTGGTGGCAGATCTGGTGGTGGTAGACTGGTAGTGGTGTCTGGGAGATGAGGTTGTGGGTTTTGTTTTTTTTTCTCTTTTCTTTTTGCTTTTTTTTATTTTCTTTTTTCCTTTTCTTTTTTTCCAAAATCCTGTGAGGTGGCGAATTTGCCCCTCCATTTACACGTGGGAGTTGTACGTGTGTAATTCCGGGAACAAATAGGCTAAAAATGGACAATTTTGGTTTCGGTGCTACAATTTTGTAAGTTGAGGTATGCCCGTGCAACTTTTTTCCGTTCAGGGGATAAAGTGCAAAAACGTCCAAAGTTTAGGGGATTTTTTGCAGTTAACCCTTGTTTTTTTAAGTGCACAAAAGTATATTGATTATTTTATATTTATATTCTTATTGTTGGTTGCCTTGAAAGATTTTCAAGTTAGGCCAGGGGCAAAATATTTAATTTCTATCCGTTTTAATTGGTTGTTTGAACTTTATGCCTGGATTTAATTGTAGGCTTCGGCTCGAATTAGTTTGAAAATTGTTAATCGAACATGTTGTTAAGCACAAATTTATTATACTTTCATCTACCGATTTTTTTCATCACAACTTCTACTATTCAATTCCTGTTTTTTTTTCGAACATTTACAGGGAATCAAAGGTATATACAAGTCTATAGGGGAAAACAATGATTTTTTTTATCTGATTTAATCTATAAAAAATATTCCAAAAAAATCCTTTTTTAATGACATGTATTTATTATTGGTATATGCTTTAAATATTGTTGAAAATTATATAGTGTGTAATTTATATGCTTGGAATAGACAAATGATTGTTTCTGCCAACCAAAAATACAAAACTTCTCCAAGATTATACAATCAACACGATTTCTTAATTTTTCTAAAATTTAAAACTTCAGAATTAACTATTTATTTTTAACATTTTTTAAATTGGAATCCATTTTTCGAAAATCTTCTGAAACTTTGTTCTCTGACTATATCTGTGGATCACAGTCCTAAACAAACCAACCGGACCATTAGTGGTGAACAAATGGCCCAACCGACCAGCCCGCGGCCCATTGAAGACGGCTCGTATGGCCCGCGGGCTCAGCCCAGCCCGTCCCCTCAGCCCATTATTTCCTATTTTGACGGTCCCAAGGCAAGATATTTAAAAAAAAATCATATAATCATATAGAATGAGTTTATAAATTTAAAATTATTTTAAAACGATTAAATAAGTAAGATATATATTTATTAAAGTATTTTTTTAATATTTCATTAGTAGAAAATAAAAAAAAACTCATAAAAGTGGAAACTTAAAGTATTTGAGCCAAGCCTGGCGGGCGGTCCACGAGCCGGCGCAGCCCGCGGAGTAAAACTGAGGCTCAGCCCGTGGAATTATATTGTTGGCTTGGACGGGCTGAATCAACGGGCTTGCTGCGGGTGGGCTTCACGGGCCTGGGCATCCTCGGGAGAAATTTGTTCATCACTCTGGCCCATGAAGCATATGAGTCCAAAAGTCCAAAATTTAATTTAATTTAAATTTAATTTCAAATGGTATTTTATTGCATATTTTAATACTATTATTAAATGAATACAAGAGATGGACTTTAAAATAAAAGATGAAATACCATTTCTATATAGAATGCACTGTATTTCAATGTACTTGCACAAATCATCTTTCTAATTGGGATACATTCAATCTAATGTGGTGCTATTCCTCCTCGAGTTTTGCAATTCCTTATTGCATTTTATGGTTATTCGTGTGGGCACTATTTGCATCACAAAAAATTGTTAGGGCGTTGGGATTGATCTTGGCGAAAAACCCTTAGATGCTAAAGTTAACTTTGTATGTCAAAAAAAAACTCATATAATTCAAGAAATTGCTCGAGAGTTATGAATTGCGCACATTTGATAGCAGGGATTCCGAGTATCTATATGGAGAATAAAATATATTCTCATAATCTTAAGCCTCTTAACATTCATCAACTTGGGACTAACTATTTAGATTATGGTCAACTTGGGCTTGATTTGTGTGCCTCTATGGGCTTGTCGATATGGACCTTTGAGCGTGTGCCCATCACAATCATATTGTTTTATGGATTCGCCCTCTCACATGGTTCTAGACTTCTATTAAATACTACATTTGGATGAAATACGGTGATAATTTTCTAGACTTCTAGTAAATACTACACTTGGATGAAATACGGTGACAATTTTCCAATTTTGATTTACACACAACCACAAATAAATGTGTAAATAGGGATTCATTAAACGAGTAAGCAGTTTAATAAGGATTCATTAAACGAGTAAGCAGTTGCCAGACCTGACCATGTATATCAATTGAGGACCATATTATAGAAATTGCGCTTTGATTTGAACCAAAAATAGAAAATCCTACCCAATAAACACGTTTTCAAACTAGTGGTAGTTACAGTCAACACCAAGAAATTCATTTTAAAAAAAAAAAAAAAAAAGAGGAAAACCAATCAGAACCATCCATCTATCACTCAATGGTCTCAAAAAAATAAAATAGTACTACTAGATAATAGAAAAAACTGTGATTTTATTGAAGTTGATCTCTGTCTGCTACTGATCAACAATTATTTGACTAACCCTAAACCAAACAAAGTCTATTTAGTTAGAACCTTAGAATATTGAAAATGTACAAGCCTATATGTAAATCTACACTTTTCTCTCTCTCTTGCTGTTGGCTAAATCCCTCTTGTTACTGCAGCAGCGAAATGGCCAACATAAACAAGAGAGCAAAACAAACTAATAATTCTAAAGACAATCTTTCAATACATATAGTTCAAGTCACTGTCGCTAACTAAGATGCTAAAAAAACTCCGGCTTTGATGCTAATCCACCGCTAAAAAAGTATAATTTCCTCGGTTTTACGTTAATCCTCATATTATAGTCACTGATGAATGAATTGAGTTAGTTGGATGATCATAATGCTGATGTCGTCTAGAGATCCTCTTGTCAGTGATAAATCGACGAGTTTCTTGCAGGCTGAGAATGTTTCGGGCTTGTCAACACCAACACATGAAGATCGGACTATATCTACTGCTTCCTGATTGCTAACCTGCAATGAAAAAACGATTTTTAGATCCAATTTATCGAACAAAACATCAATTTTCAAAAAAAAAAAAAAACGAGAAGAAGCTTCACATTACATTGTCCCAGAGTCCATCAGATGCTAGGATTAAAAACTCGCATTCTGGTCGAATCTTGTACACTTTAGTTTCAGGTTCAGCTATCACCCATTCTTTAAGATGACGGTCTCCAATTGCTCTTGTTACAGCTAGAGATCCGTGCACTCTCCAAACACCACGGCAGCAATCCACATAACCACCCTTTAAATAAAAAAAAAAAAAAAAAACCCATTAGCAAGATAGTGCATGCAATGCGTATATTTTTGTAATGAAAGATTGCATTTTTCGTAGGAAATAATCGGAGCTTACAGATTTCTCGATCCTCTCTCTTTCGTCAACAAGTGAAGGCCTATGATCAACAGTAATGACCTCAGCAACTCCTTTCCGGCTCATAACTGCACGGCAATCTCCAGCATTGGACACGAAAAGATCTCCCTTGTGAATCAATGCTGTCACACAACAAGTCCCCCCTTGGATATCTTGCTTCAGAAACTCAGAGTCCGTGATTAGGTAACCCCTTTTCACCGCCTCTTCAATCTCTTCACTAGTCTTCGAAACTTCTTTCGTGACATTCTTCGCTAAATTCTTCGCTGCGTATTCTGCCGCCCCATCTCCTCCATGACCATCAAATACACCAAAGAAGGCCTGAAACCACAATTAGTGATGTTTTTTAGAATATAATCATCAATTATAATTTAGAAAGGAAATAAGCATCCACACATCACTTCTTCTATGTGTGCCCAAATTACACCGGATTTCCGTAATTTAATGCTAATTCATCACTGTTATTATAGCATGAACAAATTAAGTATCTTGTTTTCAGATGTATGTACTTTGTCCTTGCAAATGCAGATCCATTTTCTCTTTAAAAATTCAAACTTCAATAGTAATTGGATTCAATGATGAAATTATAAAATAGCAACAGATCAATTAAAAAAAAAAAAAAAACCTCACGAAAATCAAGTATTGTTCAGATTTGGAAAAAAATTATAAACGAACCTGTTTGGAATCCCCTTGAAAACCTAAAACAGCAGAGTACCGATCCTCCATGGCACCTCCCCTTCTCCCTTTCTTACAGTAAACCGAGTAACCTTTCCCCTCAAACTCCATCTCAGTAGACCTATCCAAATCAGACGGATTTTTAATCTCGTCAAACCCTAAACTCGCAGACGGAATATCAATCCTCGCCGGCCTTTTCCTCTTCAATACGGCCGGCGCCTTCGACGCGCCTCCGTCCTCTTCTTCTCCTCCTCCATTCAACGGCTTCCTTATATGCTTGATCACAAACGACGGCGGAGAAGACAGCGACGGAGACGGCGACGGCGACGGAGGAGGAGTCGCTGGCTTGCAGAAAATTGTCGACATTTTTCTCGGAGACGACGTGAATATAGGCGGGCTTAGTGGCGCTACAGCACAATGCATGATTTTCTTACACCTTTTCGAATTTTTTTTTTCCGAATTTTTGGTCCTTTCTTCTTTGCTGTTTGTTCGTCGTTCTTCTTTCTGTGAAATGAATTTGTTTTGAGCTGTTCTAATTGGGGGGTAGGAGGGGCTTTATATAGTGTGGTGGTGGCAAGGGAATGAGCCAATACGACGCCGTTTTTCAGGTGTACAGATTTTGAGGATTTCAATCCTCACTCTCCTATATATGGAGATTGCAATAACTCGCTCAAGAGGATTTTGATTACTTTTTCTTTCTACTTTTTTCCGTCAAACTAAATATTAGGTCAAACTATGCCGTATTTGTCGTATGATTACTCGTATTTCAACAATCGAAAGAAATATTGCATAAATGTGGCTACTATTGTCGGCAATTTATTATGCAAATAGTATGAAAATTTTACGTCAAACCACCTTTTCTCAAATTTCATTGCTGGCTACTTGGATTCATAATATATGTATTATTTTACCTTCCTTTCTTTCGTTTATTTTGGAAAGTAGAAATAACGGAAAGAAAAAAGTAGACGTGAGCTTGATTGCACGGATTTTCTTAATTGGTGGGAAAATTTACATTACAGTTGAACGAGGTAAGTTGAATAAAAAAATTCAACATCATAATAATCAATTCATCGAATTCGGTTGAATTAATACATTTAATATTGTATTAAAGTTAATATGGACTATTTTTTAGTTATCGCGTTGAATTTGAAATTCACTATTGTAGTCATTTCAAATCTCCCATCAAATTATTTTCTCAAATCCAAAATTTGCAATCATTATTAAGTTATTTTTGAACTTTAGGATGATAATGATCATATTTGTAACAACAAGTAATTAGTTCATTATGTAAAAACCTTAATCAAATAAAAAAAATATTAAAAAATACATATCACTTATATTTATGAATTATGATCTCATGCCCATCATGAAATTTTACAATTATATCTCGGTTTTTTAAATATGTAGTTCATATTGTACATTGCCTTTTCTATTGTGTATTAATTCATTAATAAAAAATAAAAAAATAAAAAAATAAAAAATAAAAAAAAATGAGAGCAATTGAAGTGCACGGACTTGAATGCAAGTGGGGAAGCAAAAAATGTAATAGTAATTTCCGCAATGGAACGGTCTTTGGGGGATGGCTTTCAATGACTGTATCGTGTCAACGGTCAAACACGCAAATTCCGCTGTTTTTTTTATTTTATTTTATGAGAATATATATTTTATTTTTCCCTTTTTCTAATTTCTTCTTCCCTCTCCTTTATAGTATTTCCATAGTGGGAAATTAATTATTACTAGTAAGCTAAACTTGGAAGTTGGAACACTAAAATTAAGTCATGCTTGAATTTTGGATTTTTCACTCAATCTTCCAAAATCATTTTGATTAATGTCATCATTGAATTATACTTAATTAATTAACAACTACTAATATACGAGTTGGTTGTTCAACCATTTTCGGTATTTTAACATTTCTCGTGTGATTTACGAGCTATTGCATAACGAAAAAAATTATCTACTGCACTACGAGTTTGTTACAAGTTACGATTCTATATTTGTATATTTTAATTCCATATTTTGATAAATTAAACGACTAAATCAAGTGCACTACTACTATTAATAAATGGTGGTTTATTTTTTTCCTAGTTTTTCAAAGTACCTTTTTTTTTTGTTTATAGTATAAGCTTCATAATATTTTAATGGCGGTTGCCTCTTGCCCAACAAGATATTGAATGGGATTTCAATTTTCAATTGAGATTTGAGTCAATATATATTTTTTTTAATTAATTAATTAATATTGAGTGCACCGCACCGCATTGGGCATGTGATATTCTTTAATTATGTGCATATATTTATGATTTTATATTATATATTTGCATGAATTTTGGTCTTTGTCCTCGTCTTGCCATTCAATTTACTCTTTCAACCAATAGTTTCCTTTACAAAAAAAAATATTATTATTATTTTATTGTAACTCTAGAAAATTAAAAACGTCACATATTTACTGAAATTAGTCGTTCATTTAGCAAATTCCCGTAATTTACCATCGTGCACTTTTATGGACAAATGACGTTGAAATGATTTAAAAATGTACATGTAAATTTCCGTAATGATTATTCCTAACTTAGTAAAAAATATAATTTATTAAAATAATGTTTTCTATATGTTTGGAACAATATGGACTTTATTTAGGGCCATAATTATATATTTATAAACTCTGTAGGAGAAAAAGAAGTTGATTTTTTCCATTTTGTTCGTATTCTATTACTTAACTAGAAAGCATTAGAAATGCACTTTAATAGAAAGGTGTTGACTATAATTATTTAAATTATTAAAGGCAAAACGTACTTGGTCACACCGATGACCTGGCGGTCGGTGATTGGTGTTGACATAAGACTTTCCAATATATTTTTTTTTCAATTAAATTCTATTTTCTTGGCAATTGAAGTAAAATACAAATAGGAATAACCAATATAGCATTTTTTAATATATATTTTTTTTCTTTTGGTAAGCAAATTACAGCCATCAGATTGAATATCATTTAACAGTTCACAAAAGAGCCGATTTTTAGAGAAAACTAAGGGTCCCTAAATAATATTTTATATTCTTTATATCCAAAATCCAGGCATGTGAGCCGAGCCTCGGTTGACTCAAACTCATATACTATCGTAATATTATCGGATCTCATGTCTATAGTTAGGCTCAAATTCGGTACACGTACTTTTTTGGGTTTCGAGTTTGTATCAGGCTTATTTTCAAAAAGACTTATATCGAGTACTCAAAGTCGACTATTTTCGAAAAGACTTCGGGCCCCGTAAACTTTTGATTTACCTCTACTTCGTAAATATCTTAGTCATATTTTCTTGAAAAATTTAACTGCTAATAAAAAATTCTTGTCCGATCGTGCTCGTTAGAATAAATTAATGTGAACATTATTCAATACAAAAGAAATGGCTCACTTTTACAAAAAAATAAAACTCGACTAAGGCACCCAATTTCTGAAGAACGGCCCCGATTGAACGGTAATTTTTGTTAATATATAATTAGACTAAACATAAGATTGCCGAATACATTTATCCATTTTCTAATTCATTTGCATATACAGATTAAAAAAAATGTAATAATATATATAATGTATCAACTGCTCAAGGCCTCCCACACAGTAAATAATGTTGCTGTAGAAAACACACAAAGTTTAGCAATTGTTGGTTACGAATTGACTAGGAACAAATTGAATCCCACCAACAAGACAGTGAAGCTTTTATGATCATATATATATATATATATATATATTGAAAAAAAATTAAAAATATTCAAAAGGTGCAGAATTGATCATCTGAGAGATAACAATAAAAAATATTTAATGAATACATTTTATTTTATTGTTTCTATATTATTTTCCTTTTGGATGTAGGTTTTGGTAGAGCTACTTATAAAGGTGGTGGTGAGATGGTTTCTTATATTTCTAGTAAAATAGTGATAACAACTTGAGAAGAGTTCGGTAGAAAGCTTCAATATTGTTATGTAGTTTGTTATATAATTACACACGTTTATATATAAATTAAAAGTGAAAATAATAAAATTATTGAAGATTTATGAAATATTTGTTTCTGAGTGTACATACATACTCTGTCGATATGACACTTAACGGATTCCCCATACGTGCAGTATTTCCAACTGATCAAACATCAAAGTCACAATCACTAGGACTTTTAACAAAAAATAAGGATTTTAATTTTTATATTAATAAATAATTATTAAAACTCCATATAATTGGAAGTCATTTGAATTTTCTTATCGAGTCATCTCACCAGTTTCAATTTTCTATAATTCTAATGTTTTTAGGCCTCGTTTGCTTGCTGCTGTTTTCTATAATTCTAATGTTTTAAGGCCTTCGTTTGCTTGCTGCAACGAACTACATTGGATTAGACGAAATTAGATTAATATAATATTCCACCGACTAACTAATTATTTATTAGTCACTACGATGTGTGATTCGGTGGATTAAATGTTGTACTAAATTTGTTAAATTTTGATATCGTTAATTATTATTAATTTTGAAAAAAAATTCTGATCATTAGACGGTAATAATAACATTCAATTTTTTTAAATTTTTTTTGAAGGTGATAAAAATATATTATTGAACTTCAGACTCCTATCGTGCAATATATTGGGTCAAATTAGGTATAACAGTAAGAGAGTAAGGACCTTTAAGATAATAAATAACAATTCATTAAACGGTAAGAAAGTAATTAGGAAAGTACAATTTCAGAAGCAAAAGATAAATAAATAAATAAAACCCAATTGAGAAATTGTGCAGAAACATCAACAGCAACCAACTGCTGCATATATACACAACTTAAAAGCAAAAATTGCTGCCTTCCTCTGTCAAGCATCCAAAACCACCCTTGATAGCTACCACCTGCATTAGTGCCCATACAAATATTCTGTAAAACACGAGGGATCAAATTGACAATATGAATAAACACGAAGGGCCCGTTTTGAATTTCTAATAGTAATGCTCAACAATCAACCATGGAGCTATGTATTTTATTCTTCACCGTTTTTCGACATTTCAGCAGGTATCTATCTATTAGTGCTGAATCCGGATTATAGTAAATTAACCGAATACCACCTTTCTTGATCTGTCATTGTATAGTGGTCTTTTAGTTGGGATTTCCTCGATTAAAAGTTTAGACAAGTTCGTGAATTACTGGTGAAATCGAGAACCATCCTGTTATTCTACAGATCATAATATCCTTAAAGTTGTGCTATTTCAAAGCTCTTCGTTTATCCATCTCAATTACAGAAATACGAAGCCAAAGGCGATTACAAATGGCCGATGCCAGATACGAGTTTCAAAACGTGAATCATATCTCAATTTACAAACACTACCCTTCCGCATTATACAGCTAAAATCACATCGGCAAGTTAAGTGACCACTAACCTATATTCAACACGATAGTGAACTATCATATTTTAATGATGATTATTCATTCAGATACCCCTAAAAATCTAGCAGCAATCAAAACCATTCACAAATAGATCCAATAAATAACGAACGACAGAGAGTTGAAGACTTACATTCGTATCGAGAGGAAAAACCGGTACCTTAACCGCGGTTCAGCCAAGAAGGGGGCGGCCAGAACACATTTGCATAATCAGGAAACATTAGCACAGAACCCAATTTACCACTTTGAAAATCATACACACCACTATTATGACCATGCAATCCCCGAAACTTAATCTTAATATCATCACTCGGCACAAAGCTATCAACCGCAGCAGTTTCATCATCCGAAGAATCACAACAATCACACTCGAAGACATTATACCCACAGTCACTATCATCGTCGTACTCATTGCCGTAATCACGATCGAACCCTTCATCAGGACCGCACCGCTTCTTCTCCTCTTCGGTTCGAAAAAAGATGTACCGGTCAGTATAAAACACGAGCGGCCCTTTCACTCGTGGTGCAGGAACAGAGAACGAACAATCATCGCCCACGAAAATAACTTTTCCCATCAATTTGGCAATCGTCGTTCTTCCGTCTACCCATTCTTTATCATTTAGATCAGTCCTCGATATTATAATCTGCACAGCAGTGTTCTTAATTGGAGTTCTCGGAAAGTTACACTGACATCCCAAATCGATGTCGTAGCATTTGCAGATTCTTTTATCCTTATCAGTGACCTCCTCAATCAGAAACAACTCATCGGAAACATCGACAAAGTGCCTTTTCGACGCTTCCAGGGATCTGAAGTAGGTAGATCCAATCACCTCCAACATCGAACCGAAAAACCACGAGCGCCCCCAGTAATCAATACCGCGGAACTTTCCCTTGTAATTGACAATATCGAGGAAGTTGTTATAATCACCGGGCACAATCGTCCAATTCTGGTTGGCGGATTTAATGTACCAGAGCTTATTTTTGTCGTCGATCGCCATTATAGCGTACTCGCCGTTCTCGACGGAAGCGTGCACGGCAACTTTCTTAGCAAATTTGAAATCAATTTTCTGATTCGGTTCAGAAGGATTTGTGCAATGAAGCGCGTAGGACTTGCATACCTCGGAAAGGCGGAAATCGAGAGTGTTCAGCACCTTTGGCATCGGATTTTCCGGCAGAATTTTGATTTCGTGGTCGCTGAGAGGATTCAACATGCGCACCTTGCCATTTTCGCAAGTTTCGATCTTCACCAACCAGAAATCGGGATGCTCATTGCATCCAGGCGGCTGGACGCGGTAAACAGTCCTCTCGGTGAGGGTGAAGCACGCTCCGTCGTGCTTCGGATCGCTGGTACCGGCGCCGCCGGCGCCGCCGGCCGCGAAGGGGAAAGGGAGCTTGAGAGGCGTGGGTGGGAATCTCTTAAACGGCGTCGTCGAGGAACGCCATGAATTGCAAACGGCGCGGAGGCGGCGGACGTCGGTTTCAGTGTCGAGGCAGTTGGTTATCTTTTCGAGGAGTTCATTTGGGAGATCGGACCATGAGATTGCGATTTTGGTGCTGCTCCCCATTTCTTCTTCCGAGTGAAATTGCAGAAACCCTAGAATCGTTTTGTGATTGGAATTTTGGAGCCGGTTTTGAATTTCAAGCTTTGGGTGGTGTAGTTTTGGGGAATTGCACATTTATATAGGAGTTGGAAAGTGTAGCCGTACGTGGAGCTTGTTGAAGAAGAATCCCTCACCTTATGACACGTGGACTCGTGACTAATCAAGTGTGAAATTGGCTTATATATGTAATGATGTAATCTTTATTGTACAGATCCATATATATTATAAATACAATCTTAATATATATTTTGTGTGAAAAGTTAAATGTGGAAGAATATTTCATTAGATATTGTATCATCTAAACAATTCGGTGTAAATATTGTTTTTCCATAGATCTATTTATGTGATCTTATTTGTTGGTTTTTCCCTTTTTATTTCCTTATTGAAGGTTTCTAATAATGTAATTTTTGTAAAAATAAATAAATTTTCTTAGATGAAGAATAAATATATCATATTTAATCCTTATATTCTGATTTAATAACTTATCCATACATGTGCAGCTATTGGGCCTTATGGAAGCCCACGGGTTACATCATCGGACCATCGGCCCATATTTAGGGACGTTATAAAACAATCCATACAGGCCCACCAAGTTTGTTATATCTTCAAATGATTTTGTACAAGTCCCATTCAGAAACAATAGACAATTAAAAGATTAATAAATAATAATAATATTAAGGCAGCGACTATTTGCAAGACGAAAATTACTTAGGGCAAGACCAAATTAATTTTTTTTATTAAATTCAGTATAAAAAGACTATAATAACCTTAATAAAATACAAACAAAATAAAAATTATTTTATTAATTTCCTTTTGCAAGACCAATTTAAAAAAGAAAAAATAATAAAAAAGAAAGAAAAAAGAAATTGAATTGAGAATTGAAAAACGAGGAGGGAAGAAGGGAAGAAGAAGGGAATTGCAGCACTCAACCGTCGCCCCGTCGCCGTCGCCGTCGCCGTCGCCCCGTCGCCGTCGCCGTTGAAGTCCACCACCTCCCCGTCGCCGTTGAAGTCCGTTGTTGCCCCAACCCCGCCACAACAATCTCACGAAAAGCAAGTAAGGAAATTACTTTTTGAATTAACTTTTTTTTGAGAAATAAATGTGATAAACATGATTTTATTGTTAGAATAATGAATTCAAGTCAATTTAGAACATAGTTGATGATTCTAGGGTTCGATTGTAGCACTATTGTTGAAGGAGTTGCGGTTTTACGAAAAACGACCTGTACTTGTCGATTTTTTGGAAAATTTTCGACATACTAGTGTCGATTTTTTCATCAAATTTCGACAGCAAACAACAGCGTCGAAATATCCGCTTAATATCGACACCAGAATGTCGAAAATTTCAATATAATTCGACAGTTAAGAAGTGTCGAATTATGTTGAAATTTTCGACACTACTGTGTCGATATTAAGCGGATATTTCGACCAGTACATGTCGAATTTTTTGTACGTGAAATGAGGTGCGAAAAACGAGAAAAACGATCACAAAGTACAATATTTCTTACCTCTTTGTGTTCTTCGACCTTAGAATCCTCCATATTTATGTCTTGTGTATCCATAATGTTCTTCTTTTCAAGTTTTAGTAAGATTTGAGGGTTTTATGTGATAAGGGTTTTGGAGAATATGGAAGATTTTTTTGTGGAAAAAAATGTGTAAAATGAGGGTGAAGAAGAAGATGTTGGTGTTTTGTTGGGGGAGTGAGTTCCCTCTCTTTTTTCCTTTTTTTTTTTTAATTTTTTTTTTAATTTTTTTTTTGGTCTTGCAATAGCAATTAGCTTAATTTAAATTAATAATATCTAAATTATTATTGGGTTATTTGTAATTTCCAGTCTTGATCTTAGTAAATTTATTTATATTTTGGTCTTGCATGAAGTAAGGTCTTGCACTTAGTAATTTTCGTCTTGCAAATATCTGCAGCCTAATATTAATAAAAACAAGGGTCAATTACATCCATAACCATGAGGTGTACTAAAGTAACTTGAAGGTCCCGTGATATTGATAATTACAACCACAACCCTCAAAACAATTACTGGAGCTAAAATTTCATGTCTTGGAGACCGATATGCACTATATTTGTTTCGCGCGGGGCCGTTAATGCTACCACATACAAAATTTATAAATCCTATATAAAATAATAAGAATTTAAGCAATGTATCGAGAGTCATGTCACCCCTAGCTCTATTTTGTTCACCAATGGCTGAAACTAATAGTCCGTTTGAACCCTAACAGAATAACTTATCCAATGCATTATTCCGTTAGGGTTTGTAACAATGTTTCCAGGTATAATTGTAATTACCGAAACTACATGGACCTTAAAGTTGTTTTAGCATATCTCAGGGGTATATGTGTAATTTACCCTAAAACAATCTATCTTAAAATAACTCTATATTTGTTTGCCCAATGGAAAATAAATGCCTATATAGCATCATATGTATATATACATATATAGGTAACAGTATTGCAATCAAATTCACATTTGAACACCAACAGCTCACTACTCTATACAGATGACAAAAGTTTGTGCTTGTTCTAAAGTTTGTGACAATACAGTACCCTCACAACAGACGGACAAAACCACTAACTCCGGCGGCGGCTCAGCCAAGAAGGTGGCGGCCAAAACACATCTGCATAGTGAGGGAACATGAGCAGTGAACCCAATTCACGAGTTTCAAAGTCATACACACCGCTATTATGACCATTTAATCCCCTGAAGACGGTTTTAACGTCATCGTCCGGCACAAAATCGTCTACTACTCTTTCTGCAGGACTGGCAGAATAACAACAAACACAGAGCTCGTCGCAATCAGACCCACAATCAGTGTCATCATCGTCAGTCACCTCTTCGTAACCGTAAACGTAATTGAACCCATGGTCGTCGTCGTCGTCATTCTTTTCATTTCCAGTTCGAAAACATATGTACTTATCGGTATAAAATACCCGACCCCCATTGACCCCTTGTGCAGAAACAGAGAATGAACAATCATCACCGGCAAAAATAATGCGGTCGCCAATCGCAGCCATATCCGCCTCGACAAATTCTTCCGTCCCTTCATCAAACCTGGAAATCACAATCTCAACAGCGGTGTTCTTGATCGGAGTCTTGCATTGACATCCGATTTCCTCGTTGTCGCAAGTGCACTCTCTTCGATACTTATCTGTGATCTCTTCAATCAAGAACAACTCGTTGGAAATCTCGACCAAGTGTACTTTCGACGAATGGAGATGTACATTCGACAAACGGAGATCCGTGAGGGGAGCAACTTCATTCACCACCTCTAACTTGAAATTGAAAACCCAAACTGCAGTATAGTAATCAACGCCAAGGAACTGTCCTCTTTCATTACAGCTGATAATATCGAGAAAGATATAGTCGGGCACCATTGTCCAATTCTTCTCGTTGGATTTTATATACCACAGTTGGTAGCTTTCATCAATTGCCATTACAGCATATTCATTATCGGCACACGCGGCCACAACTACTTTCTTGGCAAATTTGTAATCGTTCCTAGGGTTTGGATTACAAGGATTCACATACCGAAGCGCGTGAGAATTGCATACCTCAGAAACGCGGAAATCCAGAGTGTTGAGTACCTTGGGCATCTGATTTCCCGGCCGGATTTTTATTTCGCGGTGGCTGAGAGGATTCAGAATGCGCAATTTGCCGTCTTCCGAAGCTGCTTCGGTCTTCACCAGCCAGAAATTGGGGGTTTTGCCCTCGGGGGCTTCAACGCGGTAAACGGTCCTTTCGATGAGGGTGAAATACGCGCCGTCGTGCTCCGGGAGGGTATCTCCTTCGAACGGGAAAGGGAGATTGAGAGGCGTAGCGGGCAATTTCTTGAACGGCGCCGTAGAGTAGCGCCATGAACGGCACACCGCGCGCACGCGGCGGACGTCGGTCTCAGTGTGGAGGCGGTTGACTATCTCTTTGAGAAGTTCCGTTGGTAGATCGGACCATGGGATTGCGATTCTTCTGTTATCGCCCATTTTTTCCGGTGAAATTGACGGAACCCTAGAAGAAATGGTTTGCAGAAAGGGGGCGGTTTATTTTTGTGATTTGATTTTGATCGGAATTTCTGGAAACTGGAATTTATATAGGTGTACGTAGAGCTTTATTGAAGAAGAAATTACATTTCATATTGGAGCTTATTAGAATAAATTTATTTTAAATAAAATTATTTTAATATTTTACTTTGAAGACTGGACCTAGTCATTTTTTAACATTTCATATGAAATTAGAGCTTATTAGAATAAATTTATTCTAATATTTTATCGTTAAAGACTGCACCTGCTAATTTTTATACAGTTATCTACACACAACAATATGGTTGTGTGTTTTTATGTGTATATGAATGGTAAAGACTACCCGATATAACACATAATAGACGACCCTCACAAATTTATTATATAACTATGTAAATTATTAAACCAAATTTATGTTGAGTGACGATGAACATTAATTTGTCAAGTGTTATATCTAAATCAATGAAAAATCGCATAAATTTCAATATCTTCTACTAATTAAGGCCGATATTTCTTCATAGTATAATTAAAAAATTTAGGCAAACCGGGCAAGAACACCAACAAACGGAGCTATATTTGCAGTAGCGGTCTCGGATTGTTGATAATTTTCTCTCTCGTCTGAATACTCGTCGCTCTGATTCGGGCCACCGACAATCGCACCATCAAGAACATTCGGATTATCCGCATTCCTATGGAACCACTGATCGAAACCCGCTTGGCAACTAACCGGGCTCGGATCTTTCTTAATGGACACGATCGATGCTCCTCTGTGGTGGACCCTTTTCGGATAGTTCGACCCGATTCCCACCATGTAGCTCATTTGCTTCGGATTGGAACCCAATATGTAATCCACCTAAAAAAGAATATTGGTAAGTTGTTTAATTGTAAATTGAACTGGGGGTATATTGGTAAAATGATCAATTGATGATGACATGTACCTGTGATTTGGCGAAGGTGATCAAATCCTGTGGGCCCACAGTGCCACCTGGGCATTGGATAGTAGTCTTGGCGGCGTTGAGAATGTCAGCGTAAGTGGTGATGATAAACGACGCCGTAGTGACGTATTGAAGATTATTCCATTCTTGAAACCAGAGGAGACCACCGTTTGTTTTACGCACGTTGTTGTTTCCTTTTTGCATGCAGTTGCATACGTATTCTTCACCGTACTGTTTCGCTTGCTCCAAATTTCCATTTTCTGATTTGAATTTCCCCTCTAATACACCCTGAAATGAAAATTTATTATTAATTTAATTTAATATATAATTCGAGTATATATATTTTATTATAGATATACCTTTGAGATAAGGATTTGAGCGCCGACAAATTTGTCGTCCCATGAAAACATTGTTCTGGTTCCACCGAAGTTGGTGGATTTAGTGACGATGTCTGAGTAGGTTTTGTCGTTAGTGGCTAGTGATAACCATGTTGCAGCCCACAAAAGTTCGTCCTAATTAATAAATTAGAAAAAAATTGTAATTTAAAATGTGTGATATATTTGATTTAAAGATTTTTTTTGAAAAAGTAATAATATGTACCTCAAATCCACTGCTTGAATAGAATTGTCCAGCCCCAGGAATACTGTCATGGTACTTGCCGGTGTATTTTGTTGCAAAGTCAAATAACTGTCGCAATTGACAAAAATAAATTACAAAAAAGCCCCAGAATTTACTTTTTCTTAACAAAATAAGGGAGAGAGAGAGAGAGAGAGAGAGAGAGAGAGAGAGAGAGAGAGAGAGAGAGAGAGAGAGGGTTTGCCTGTTTTGCATGGTTGAGTAGCCTGGACGAATAACTAGGCTGTGACTCTTGAAAAGCAATGGCTGCCGCCGCCAATGCGGCGGCAGATTCGGCGGCAAGATCCGAACCCGGGTGCTGCTCGTCGATCTTGTAAGCGGTTCTCGGCGTCGTCATATCCTCGGGTCTCATCCAGCACGAGTGATCCGACCCGCCATCTCCGACTTGACCGTACATCACATTAGGCTCTACATGGGCCTTAATTAGATAATCGGTCCCCCATTTAATGGCCCTCAAAGCATTCGACAACTCATTTCGGGCCCTAAGTTGAGGCCCGAATTCAACCACGCTCCACGCCAGCATTGTCACTGTATACGCCATCGGGAAGCCGAACTTCACATTGTCGCCGGCGTCGTAATATCCTCCGGTCAAATCCACCTATACCATATTTATTATTTATTGAAAAATCGCTATAATTTTTTTTATTAGTAAAAATAGGGATTTTTAGTTTTTAATTAATTACCCCGGAATCTTTGCCGTCGGTAAGAGCAGAATCTCCACGCCATTGCACGCGCTGAGTAGGCGGTAGCTTACCTGATCTTTGTGCTTCATAGAACAACAAAGACTTTGTTAGGGCTGCTCCATAATCTATTGATGCAGCATTCTGAAATAAAGCTACAAAACTTATAACTAATGCTAAGTAACACAATCTAGACATATTTTTATTTCTACTGCAAATTAAAGATTTCTTCGGATATATATATTGCCCTAATATATATAATGTAGTAACTGTGAAAATCTTTTATTTTTTCTTTCTATGTGGAAATTAAAATATATTAATTGATTATGGTAAAATTAATTAAAAGATATTAAAATAGCATTAGTCAAGGAATTTATATATAAGTAATTAATTGAAGCGTTTGCGAGCAGGAATTGCACTGATTGATCTTATATTGTTAGGAATGAGATATTGGTCAAAGGCATTTATTAGTGATTATTTATAGAATAAGGTACAGAATAAAAAGATTACCTTTTAAATATGGTATACCAATATTTTGTTGGACTGTTTGTAAATGGCAGAAATATCATCATAATTAAGGTCATAAATTCAAGATTTATGTATACGCCACACTGTGTCGATGATCTTGCACATAGATTGCGATACAAATTTAATTTGTTATACTTAATCAAATAATATGGCAAGTCATGATTACGTACTATATTTTGATATATAAAAATAAATCAAATAAAATGCCACCCAGAAGATCACTACGTACACAGAACCATGCATGCATGCACATGATGTTTTTTAATTAGTGGAAGGAAAAGGATTTTTTTCTGAGAAGATCAATGTTTAATTACAACCTTTGAGAATTAATGATCTCGTTAATTATATATAATGTGAGTATAATTTTCAAAATTATTTATAAAAAACATTGTAATAAAAATGGGTAATATGCTTGACACCCCTTAAATCAAACTTAATTAGATAAGAATGACAACCTCAAATGAAATATTTTAACTAAATCCTTAATTCTAAATAAAATTTATCCCACATCCTTTGATTTTTATTTAACCCGAAAATACCCTTAATATAATTAATAAAAAAATAGGGTTTTTTTCTCCTCTTCTCTTTTTCCCACTCCTTTTTTTTGCGCCGCCCCACACAACTGCACCCCTTCTCTCTGTTTTTCTTTTATTCCACCGTACCCACCCACCATTTCATTCTTTCTCTCTCTTTGATTCTCTCTCTCTTCCCCTCTCTTCCACTTAGAAAAAAGACAACGGAAATAGGCCCATGGATCTCTCTCTGAATAGCCTGAATTCTCTCTCTCTCCTGCCGCCCCAACCCCTCTCCCCTTTTCTCTATTTTTGTTTTTTTTTTTTACAGATTTGAGTGTTAGATAGCGATGGAGGGTATGGTGGGTTGATTATAAAGACGAATATGGTGAGTGGCAACGACTGATATGCTCTTTTGAGACAGACCTTCGCTTGGGCATAGAAACAGCTGTAACGGGTGGTGGACCTCGCGGCGGCTATGGCGACGGTGGGTATACAGGCGGCAATCGTGGATGGCGGGTCTGGCGGCGGCTATGGCGTCGACCGATATAGAGGCGGTTAGAGTGGTTGTGGTTGCGGTTATGGTGGGGGTTGGGTATGGGATATGTAAGACGATGGCTATGGCGGACGGCGCCTATGGCGGTTGTGATTGCAGATCTACGATTTCGTTTTTTATGGGCGCTTATGACTATGGGTGTCTACGGATGTCTACGGATCACTACGAGTGTCTACGAATCGGTATCGAGAATATGTGACTACGAATTTTTATGTTTCCTATAGACGACTACGACTGATTTTTTTCAAAAACATTCATAATTTCAATATTAATAAACTATAGTAAACCATAGTATACTACAGTAGACCATAGTATTTTTAAAATCTGCTGTACTATTTAACAAAAATGTAAAAAAAAATCATAATCTTCAATAAAATGTTAAAAATAAATGTAAAAAATGCTAGAGTGAAAAACGAAAAAATAAAGATGACAAAGTCCGTAAAAATAAAATAAAATATGTTAGATAAAAAAAAAATAAGATATTAAATGCATAATAAAAAATTATAAATGCAGTTTGATTTTTACTTAAATGCAAATTTCGAATTTGTGAGTAGAAGGGCATTTTTGGAATGAATTTAATAAAGGATGTGAAGCAAAAGTTTAGTTTTAATTGTCATTTAGTTCTAATTTGTTTTATCACCAGGGACCTATATCTTAAGGCCCCATAAAAATAAAACCAGACAAGACATATGGGCCTAAAATGTAACGCGCCACGTGGGTCTAATGCAAGCCAATAGCCACACTCGCTTAACCAAATCTAACCAATCACATGTTTTCGGCTTCTAATTAATTGACTTTATTAGCATTTATGAGTTGGTTCGGTTGACAAAAGTCAAACCACCCCAAAAAGCAAAAAAAAAAAAAAACAAAAAAAAAAACACTAATTTGAAGCCCAAAACAATTTCAAACCAATATCAAGAATGAAAAAGTAACACAAAATTTACATAAAAGAAGTTAGTTACAATTTCTCTTTCATTTGTACTTTCTTCGAACCGATTTCATTTTTTACAAAAAAACGTTCCTTGCAACGTTTGATATTTTCAATCAACGGCCAAGATAAATTGCCGATTCATATACGATATATCAACAAAAACGCCAAAAAAATAAAAATAAAAATCCAGATTTCGAAATGCATCTAGAAAAATATTTACCAAACACATGTTAATCTGAGATTAACACGTGCATTTATAATTTGTCAGGACCGTGATATAATACGAGCGTAGAGAAACTCGTTCCACGTGTCCGGCAATCCAGGGAGGCACCAGTGTATGCAATCGGCGTAAGTCGCCGGATCCGCCTGCTGCTCCGGCGTCACCATTTTACCCTGCCGGATTGTGTGGACAGACGTGTGCGCGTCTTTTCTGTATTCCGACAGCGCTGTGATGTTCATGAAACTCACAGACATTTTCATGGACTTGGTCACATTTGCCGCCACAGCAAATAGCCTCCGATCCGTGCCCACGTTCAACGGCATTGACGTGTTCAGTATCGGGGCTGTCTCTTTAGCACATTTTATCCCATCCGGGTTATTCCAATCCAAACTCCTATTCCAATATTCAAAATTAGAGATCAAAATCAGGAATAAAATCAATCTTTCCCTACAATCGATTAAGTCAAATTTTAATTAAACTTGTCCCACACTACAATAATGTATTTGAACTTTTTTATCAGTGATTAGGAAGTGGTTGATTCTTATCAAAAAAAAAAAAAGGAAGTGGTTGATTACTAAATCAAAGAACTTAAAAATAATAAAATAAAATAAAATTAGGATTTAATAATTGAAATATTAATTACTTGATGTGGAGGGGAGACATGCTCATGAAGAAAACTTGGGTTCGATTTCGATCGACGTTTCGGTCAACCCAATTAGACCAAGTCGTCAACACTCTTTCATAAGCCACAGGCCTCGGAATTTCTTCGAACTCCGTCGCGCCTTCGTCGAACGATCCTCGCCTATTTCATTCATTAATTTAATCAATTAAACTCCGAGATTAATTAATATTAACAAACTTAATTAAGACAAATGCACATTAATTCATGACTTACAGAATTTTCATGGCTGCAGTGTTCATCCACCAAATGTAAGTGTTGAAGACGAGGTAGTCGACATTCTTCCAGTTTCGGCCGTGTTTCTCGATGGATTCGGGCATTATTATCCTGTTCAATATGCTGTGCATATCCGGATCGTCCGAGTTCGATTCCACCAAGAACGGAGCCCAGTAAAACTCCACTGTTGCATTGTAATCCTGCCATTTAATTTATACTACATTTATAAATCAAGAATAATTTTGAAACATAGAACAATTCCTATAATCTGCAATAATTAAATTTACTATACAAGTTGGAATAAAAAATCTTTGGTTAGTGCCACTAAATTAGGTGAAAGGTGGTTGATTATTTGAAAAATGTTTTAGTTAGGTGCTTAGCTTGTAGTTTGAGCAACAAGGATACCCACTTTTGTGTAATAATAATAATAATTAGATTTGGTAACAAAACTTCAACTTGTGTGACACTTTGTACTACTTGATTCCTCAATGAAGTCTTGTACACGTTTTAAAACAAAAGTCAAAAGGAAGTTGGATATTTATATATATATTAATTAAAGAGAATGCATGAATTAAAATAATTAAGTAAATGACACAATTTATTAATATTAATTATTAATTAAAGAGAGAAAATAAAAAACCTGAATTTTGAAGACAGATAAAGAGCCAGTCTTGTTCAAGGTCTTGCTGCCACGTGGCACTGCGGATTGAAGCAAACAGATCATTGACTCCCACTGGTTCCGGTTCAGTGAATCCCCAACAAACATTAGCCTCTTGTTCCTCATTTTCTCAAGCATTAATCTCGCTTTAAACCTTTAATTAATCAATCAATTAGTTAATTAATTAAACACATCACACTAATTACAGTCATCAGTTGATATTAATAATTAAATTAGAAAAGTTTACTTGGGCAAAGAACAGTCTCGGGGCTGCCACCTCCAATTCTGGTAGAGAGAATCTCGCCGGCCGTTCTTCATACACGTCACCTGCGCCGTCAAAAACTCGCATTCATCCTCTCTGTACAACGGGTGGGTGACGTTATCAAAAACCCATTCCCCCGTGAAAAAATCGCAGTCTTCTGGTGGGTGTTCAATAATCTCCTCTTCTTCATCATCATCGCCGCCGCCGCCGCCGTCGTGATTTTCCTCAACGTTCGTTTCGATTTCTGGGTCGGTAGATTTCACCTCTTGTTTCTGATCATCATCATCGGAAGAGGATCCCTCTATTTCAGTCTCCACGACGGTTCTTGAATTCACCACCACCGAAACGGCGGCGCTTTGGTCGCCGCCGGCGAAATTGAAACCCGTCTCGTTTTCTTGGACTTCCTGGGTGGGGCGCGTGAACGGGTATTCGGCAATTGATTTCACGTCCTCGTTGTACATGAAACAGCCGAAGATGAAGATGGACATAGCCACCACGAATACCGACAGATTGCCGCTCTTGCGGCCTCCGCCGACGGCGGCGGTGGTGGGCTTCATTGAGAATGAAGTCGACGCGGCGGAGAAGAATACTGGGCTGAATTTGCGGCGGAGAGGAGGCTGCATGAGAATTATGAGAGAGAAGACAATTTTGGTGAGAGATATATAATATATATAAATGAAGAGGAGAAAATTATAAAGACGATGATCAAAGAGATTAAGAAGAGTATTTGCATGAGAAATATAATTAAAGAGAACACACTAACATTGATTAATCTTTTTATTCTTCTTGATTGAATTAAGAGAGAAAGATTTAATATTAGTTGGTGGTGTAGTTGGTTAATTAATTAGTTTAATTTGGAGAGAAGAGTGATATATTAATTAGGTGAAATGACACACACCGCTTTATTATGGTAATTGTATATGGTTGGAGTGTTGTCTTTCTCAGCCGATCGATCACGTTCTAACTACTGTGTATGTGTTGTGTGCCTGTGTGTGTGTGTGAGAGAGAGATGACAGCGAGAGAGAGAGAGAGAGAGAGAGAGAGAGAGAGAGAGAGAGAGAGAGAGAGAGAGAGATGATGAGTTAAGTTAAAGATTTGAATTTGAGCGTCATTGTCATATGCTAAAGATTTATATTTGGTAGGGAATGTAATTGTGGAGGCCACGTTAATATAGATGGATGATGAGAATATGAAGAACAATTTATTGTTTTATTATAAAAGAAAAGAAAAGAAAAGGAGTGAACATGAAGACCTTAATTACATAAATGACCAACTAAATATTCCTATTAAAAATTATTAATCAACAATATCGTTTGATATTACATATATTGTTTGGTGAGATGTTTCTCGTGATTCCAAAGAACGTAAAAGACACTAGGTCTAACCAGGTGTGATAAACTTGACTGAGCGATTGTTGACAATAAGTGAACTGACAAAGATTCACTTGTTTCAACAACTAGGTGCGGATCCAAAAGGCTAGCCCACACCTCTTGAATCGAAAACTGAGTGGTGCTGCACGTACGTATTGCACAAGCCTACATGTAATAGATTTATCCCAACAAACAAACCAAAAAAACACAATTAATTAAAGAAAATAATAATAATAATAAAAAAGATAATTAGGTGGTTGTTTAGGTATCGACATTAATTAATTATGAGTGTGATTAATGTTAAACTTAAAGAAATATCCACATGAAATGTCCCTGTCGCAGTCAGCAACAAACATACTCTAGTTGATGAATTATTAAGATTCTTTAATAAAATGATGATTAAAAGTGGGATCATGTTATCCTAATTATGGTTACCTTTATGCTTCAGAAAAGTATACACTAAGAAATCAATGCTGGTACATATATGTATATGTACCAGCATTTGATATTGCAATTTCACACGTTTCGTTTATTTGAAGCCAAGGAAACTAACTGGAAACATGCTTACAAAAAGAATTATTTATTCACAGTACTTATATAATTTATTTTTTAATTAAATAAATTACGACAATATATATATATATATATAATATTCCCTATGAAATATGGAGAAATTACTGCAATTTGCTTGCAATTTGCATAATAACACGAAATATTTTCACAATCTCGTTTGCTTATTACGATGTAACGCAAATAATCATATTACAAAAAATCAAGCAGAAGGTAACAAATAATCATTCAGCTATAAATTTCATAGGAATTCCACGAACTCGTTCAACGAAAGAAAAAAAAAATCAGATTTTTAAGAAAAATGTCGAAACTAATTTCGAGGTCCCTTTTGTTAGTTGTTCTTGTTCTTATCACGCTCACATCAGGTATCAAATATGTCTTTAGGATGTTATTATATAATATGAAATCACTCGTAAAATCGAAATGCATCTTATAACCGCACTACCAAAAAAGTCGAATTACCGATTCATTGTAATCGACACAACGAATTATATTATTGTCTCTCTTTTTATCACCCTTTTTTAACGTAGCTATTCGTGAAGTTTTTATAATTAAAAAACTACTAATTAGAACTAATTAATGAATACATTTGTTTTGTGGATGCACAGATTGTTCGGTTCGGGGTGAAGAAGAAAACGGTTGTATTATTTGCGAGAGAGTTTGCATGTCGAAAATTTACAGCCAGTGCGACGTCAACATTGCCGATTCATGCGTTCAAGAATGCCGAAAAATTATTGATCCAAAAAAATATATCAGAAGCGTGTGTACATCAGACACCTCAAACAATAAATATTGTCAATGTATATGGCATTGTTAATCAAGTTGATATGAATTTAAAAAAAAAATAATGTAATTCTATTACTAGTTCTAGTAAATGAAATGATAAACACATGACGGTTTTTAGTAAATATGGGATATTTTAGGGGAAATTGGCTAGACACCCCTTATTCTAGACTTATATAGGTGGAGATCCATTCTATTAGATGAATATAGGTGTAGGTCCTTGATCAATTAAAATTAATTAAATTATTTATGTATAGACATAGATACCCCAATTAATTAATAGGTCCTAGGATCGAATCCTGGCAGCCGCAGTGTGGGAATTTCAACTCCAAATGAGGGTTGGTTCCTTGTGGGCACCAGGTCCGGGTCCGCTACCTTAACGGGCCGTTGAGTTACCATGATTTACATCCTCCATCAATCCTTGTCGGGCCAAGGGATGGGGGCCCCTAGGGCGAGGGATTCGCCTTTTGGTGCAAGATACCCCAATTAATATTTTTATATAATTAGTTAATTTTAAAAATTAAGGAAAAAAATCCCACAAATATCTCACTCTCTCCTCTTCATACTGCACGGTTACAACTCTCTCCCCTCACCCACACGCCTCTCTCTCTCTCTCTCTCTCTCTCTCTCTCTCTCTCTCTCTCTCTCTCTCTCTCTCTCGCACACTTATATTATTTCTCTCTCTCAAGCCTCTAGCTAATGTGAAAATTAATAATTCATTCATTTCATTAAAAAAATCTTTAATTCTATTTTCATAATTATTTTATAGCAATCTTAATTATTAATTTTCTTGAGATCATATGTGTTGGATTTTAATTGTTATTCCGTATGTTATCGATAGTATTGCATTTTTTTGTTTGCATTTTCTAATTAGTTTTACTTCAGCAAACAACATAATAAAAAACCGGACAACAAAATAAATTGCAACATAAAATAGAAAACTGCAAACTGCAACTTATAACTGAAAATTGTAGTATCAAACACCAAAAATAATTTGAAACAACAAATGAATGTGAATCATTAAACAATGATTTTTTTTTTGCGCTCTCGAGGACCATTTACATGTTAGCAACATGAACAAAAAATGGATCATCTTTTATCTTTTTTGGACAAATACGAGTTGAAACGTTCTCGCGAGCATAAATATTTGTCACACACAAAGAGTGTCCAGTGCCGAAGTTCGACAATGGGAGATTCACCTAATGCAGCGGGAAAACAATGTAACGAAAATTGCTCATATTCTTTCACACCATGAACTTTTTCACCATTGACATTGATTTCGTGGACGTTCGTATGCATTTAATATTCCTTCTCCTCTCTTCGATGTTGTTGAACAATGGCTTGGTCCTTTTTTTTTTTTTTTGCAGTGGCTGTTGAACGTAAAATAAAACAGATAGTGATTGAACGTTACAAAACAACAAATGTAATAATTGCAAATATTAACAACCACAAATTGCAAATTGCAAATACAAACGGTAAAGGCAAACTGCAAACGAAAAATGATAAAGAGGAAAGTATGAAGTTCTCTCTTGCGCCCAATTATAGTTAATGGTGTTATCCAAATCTTCAACATACTTCATCCATGACCATGGAACCACATCCCCTCCGGTGGTGAAGAAGAAATTGACCATTAGAAACAGTAGAACGATCCTCGTCACATCTTCGATGTCATGTTCTTGGTTTTTCTTCATCAATTGATCCAGGGTTGCATTTAGATGTTTAACTTGTAGTCGCTTCACGGATTGAAAGTGCCTTGCTATGATGCCATCCCTCGGTTTATGACTGCTTTTTTTAAACGTTATATTCATGCCGGTGGCGCCGCTTTTTACCCCAAAAATCAGTTGGCACTCAATAGGGCTTAACTGAAGCTCTTTTCCACCAATTATAAATCGACGTTTATTTTTGTCGTACGTCACGAGAATTTTATATATTTCTTGTACAGACTTACGAACTTCCTGCGTTGGGATCTCTCTCCTTATAAACGGCGGTATAAATTCTGCAATCACGGTCCTTTGAACACATTCAACGTGGCAAAATGTAAACAGCAAATCCTAAACATCAGCTGTTGATTCCGAACAACAAACAATTTGTAAACAACAAACAGAACGAAGTCAAATAGGGCAACAACAAATCGAACGAAGGCAAACAGAATAAAGGCAAAATGCTCAGACCAGGTAATTTGTAAACAACAAACGAAACAAATGCAAATAGTGAACAACAAATTTGTAAACAGCAAACGAAACAAATGCAAATTAGTGAACAACAAATCGAACGAAGACAAAATGCAAACGACCTGGTAAAACTGCAAACGATCAAACACCCAAACCTATGGAAGGATTCAAAATTCGTGGTGAGATTTTTGCTTTGAAGAAACATGGAAGAAATCGATATCCAGATTTTTGCAAATATAATTTTCGGATTTGCAGTATAATAGGGGAGAAAAATAGGGGATTTGATTTTGAAGATATATTTACCGTATATTAATAGGGATATTGATAGGGGTACTTTTGACAAATTATAAATACAAAAATTTGCTGAAAAATAGAGTTTATTAGATGAATTTTAACACACATAATATCTTATAGGATGACCTATAGCAAATTGCCCCGATATTTTATTACGCACATTTGTCATAGATATTGTTCTTAATTGTAGAATTAAAAGTTTGAATCTTCGGCCCATATTAGCTTAAGCCCTATATATATATATATATATATATATATATATATATATGTGTGTGTGTGTGTGTGGACCAAATTTAATTGTTATAATAAAAGAAAAAAAAAATCAGTAATACCAAATCATAAATTACAATAAATAGCCAGATCACGATATGAAAATCAGATTTCTTACACTAAATCCATATCAACACAATCAACACATTCCCTTTTATATTATATGGTATGCAAATAAATGTATATTAAAATAAAAAATCTTGGAGATTTGTTACAAATTGCTATTTAAGCAAAATTATAACCAGAGGTTTTGTATCATATATCAAAATTCCAATGGCCGCAAAGTTTGTGAAGTCGTTTTTGTTCCTAATTGTCCTCGCAGCTCTAACATCAGGTTATCTTTAAATTTTATTTATTTGATTATAAATTCGTTACATGAATTATTTATTTAATTATTTAATGGATTTGCAGAGTGTTTGGTTTCGGGGACTGTATGCAAATATAGCATTCCAGATTTCCCGTGTGACCCAAAAGACGCAGGCGCGTGCGTTCAACCGTGCATTCAATCCGTAAAACCGAGAGAATATGTTTGGAGTTTTTGCGGAGAAGGACCTCCTACTTATTGTAATTGCGCTTATAATTGTTAATTCATTCTCATTTTCCCAGCTTCATAAATAAAAAGAAAAACCAATACTCGCTTTTCTTCAACTTTCTTTTTTTTTTTTTTTTTTTTTTTTTGTTTCCAATTTTCCAAACCAGAGGGTGTCTAGTTGTAATTCTGATTATTCTGAATATTCTGATTCAGTATATGGCTGATTTGGTCGGTGGCCTCCGAAATTATTTTGAAAACGAAATGGGCGTAACAAATGATCAAGTTCAAGAAATACTAATGCAGATAGATTCTCATTTACAAACATAAGCAAAATTTTAAGCCTATGAACTGTAAAATTATGAAACATATAGCAGCTTAAGAACAAAAAGCGAAAAAATCGAAAAATTGTTGATTACCTATGGCAGTTCAGCAAGAGGGACACGTTCAACAAACTCTACATAGTAAGGTGTGATGGAAACACGAGTTCGCATAGTTCTCGGCTTATCAACACCTGTAAGAAGTTGTTGACGATATACTTGTTGACAACCCTCTTCATAATACTCTCTACAATCCTTATCCAAAAGCACCGCCGTAAATTCCAAATACACCATACGGCCTGCGGACGAATCTCCCGTTGCAAGCACCACGTCCAGCCACTTGTATCTCACGGGCTGCTTGCAAAATTGTTAAATCATTTATTTTTATTAACATAGATTACAACAAATTATTATTTAACGGGATACATACATTTGTTTTGTTGTAGACTTCAATAGCTAAATCGGTACATTCTTTGAGGATATTCATCGTATTACAATCGCAGCTGGTGGAATCTCCACCATACAAGACGAAGCCCTGTCGCAATTCCTTGATCAAAATCTTGTCCGGCTTCTTCATCGAAACTTCTTCGCATATCCAACCGAATTTGCGTCTGGTAGATAGATAGATTGTGATTTATGAGTAACAAACAGAGATAAAATCATATTGTAAAATGTGAAAAATCGATTGATTACCTATCGAAGGCAAGGAGGTCAGCAGGAGTGACAAGTACAACATACTCTACCCATCTATTTACGAGGGAAACGTGAGCTCGAAAAGTTACGGGTTTCGTATCGACACCATCCGCCGCCGCCTCGGACACAGGCGTAGCCGTAAACATCATATTCGATTGAATACCTGAGTATACACGTGCAACTGCATACACAATCTCCACAAAACTGTATTTCTCCACCTACAAACACAACATAATTACACACACCCACGTGCAATTATTAATTAATTAATGAAGATCATTAATAGTAGTAGTCTGAACATAAACACCAAATTACATTAGGTTTTAAGAAAATATCGAAAGAACGCCAGAAAAAAAATAAGAGAG